CCAGATTCAGCCACTGTTGAAACTGATCAGTTTCAGCAGCGGCTGAATCTGGACGCCAGTTCCGACTTACATACAGATTCAACTTAAGAACAAACCTACAGTCCCTATCTTGTACGTAACCCGGGGACTGCCTGTAGATACAGTCTCCTCTGGAGCCAAACAGGTCCAGATTCCTACTCAGCATGATGTAGTAATGTTGTTTTGAATCTGAATGTCGATCAGTTCCACCTGCATTGACACAAAGGCAAGATGGGTTCCTTCCCACACAAAACAGGCTTTTCCCCAACCTTGGCCAGGTTGTAGTAAGGAAAAAATCATTATTTTATGCCCTTTCCAAGTTAGCCTGAGAAAAAGGAAACCTTTTTTAAGGATGGATTCGTTCACATGATAATTTTAGAAATTTTAACAAACACCATGGGGTTGGCATTAGCTGTGGGCTTAAGTGCTGGAGAACTTGAGCAGTGGGCGCTTTCTGCATCCAGCTCTGTATCTGGGAGAAAGGAAAGACTCTCATGTAGGGCCTCAGGAAAAAAATTTAGTGGCTTGTCCTTTTCCAATTCCTAAGGAAAACAATCATCCTCAAATTATTTCTTCTAGAATGATTCTCCAGATGGTTGACACTACTTTATTGCTTTTGGATCATGCTTTGTGGTTGTTCTCTTGTGATCTCTACAGAGCCCATGTCTGCTAAAGTAGAGATTCTTGTTTCATCTTCCCCAATTCTGGAGGGCAGCACCTGGCTCACTGATCTGGTATGCTGTAGTTGTGGCTTTAATTACAGAGGTACCTGCTGATAGTCTCCTAAGCAGAATCTGCTCTTCTGCACCTGCTTTAGCATTTTATAGATTTGATCCAGGTTTCCTCTATGAGTGGTGACCTTCTGCTCTGCACTGGGTTCTCAGAGAGCCTCTGTTTCTTTGCAATTTGCATGGAGTCTGGGTAGGAATGATGGTTCAAAACAAATCCACCCACTACAAAGCTGTTAAAGAGCAAGGTGAACCACCCAGAGACAAAAAATGTGGCTTCAGAATAGCAGATGTTGGTGGATTTCAGTGGGATTGAGCAGGAGCTCCAGATCTAAGCAACTATTTTCCTCTCCTGACTCCCAGAAGACTCATATTTAACAAGAATATTTAAAGCTCTGCCTTTCTTATTCCTTTGTAACTTACATATCAAACTGATTTATATACTGATATTAAAATATTATGTGGATGACACTTTTATTCCAATTTCTCAAGTAAGACTCAGAACAAATTTTATATAGCAGGGTTATCTAGCCATGAAAAAAAAGAAGTGTGTTGATGGAAACAATGACAGAACTTTATGACAGAAAGCAACAACACCAATTTAAAGAACAAAAATTCTATGCAAGTGCAAACAGCTTATGGACACTGACACCTTATTAGATCTATATTTGGAAGGCACGTAAATATTGTTATTCACATTTAACAGAGGGGAAAATAAGAAAATGTGCTTCGAAAAGTCACCTAAAAATCAAACATAAAAGGGACCAGGATAAGAATTCAGGAATTTTTGTCTCCCCGTCCTGGGCTCAGACCATTCCTTCTTAGTGATTAATTGTAAACATTAATTTCACTAAACTTTATCAGCCAATACTAGAATGATTTACTATAGATCTTATAACAGCAGTTCTCAGATTTAATTGCACCATGGCCCCCTTCTGACAACAAAAATTACTATACAACCCCAGGAGAGGGGACGAAAGCTCAAGCCCTGCTGTCACAGGTGGGGAGGGCCCTGGGGGCAAAGCTGAATCATAGAATCATACAACACTAGAACTGGAAGGGACTTCGAGAGGTTATCAAGACCAGTCCCCTGCCCTCATGGCAGAACCAAGTACCTACTAGATCATACAAGAAGCAAAGCTGAAGCCTGTCATGCAGTCTTTGGCACTGGGCCCAGCAGGCCTAACACCAGCCTTGGCAGTCCCATAAAAATGAGGTAAGGACTCATTTTGGGGTCCCAACCCCCAGTTTGAGGACCCCTGCCTTATAAGAAATATAAACAGAAGATTCCTGAGGTGAAAATTGCAATGGCTGTAATCACATGAAAAAATACATGTAAGTTGCTCTTTTATCTGTTCTGTTTCAGATACCAGGCACTGTCATTGTTTGACAGCATGATTACAGGGGACTGCACAACAACTTAAGTAAGTAACGTGTTAGATCCAATGCTCCTGAGGACTTGCTTCAACCCTTAACAGTGGTGGTCAAGTTTGCACTCTGTTCCAGCACACAATAGTGACCTTTCGAATTTGCTCCTGGGAAAAAGAAGTAAAGCATTTCAAGTGTAAAGAATAGCTTGTTGAGAGAGCTAAGCAAGGGATATGTTTGTAGCTGATGAAAAATCTGCCCTCAGCACAGCCTGAGGGAGCTAGATCTGGGTTTGCAAAACAGACACACACACACACACACACACACACACTTATTCTAAAATAAACGTAATCCCAATAAAAAGGTAAATGCAAGTTTAAAATCACAAAATCATCTATATTACACAATCATGTTTGTACCCCTAAACAGATGCATAATTTATTTTAAGGTAATCTACTTCTTGATCATTATCTATATGATATTATACAGTGCAATATAGTATGAGCATTAATGAAATTATAGCATTATACAGTAACAGTATTAATGCTTACTTGCTTCTTACCTTTTTATCTTATACATACGTTAAGAAACTGATTACCCTGTGCCTACTCATGATGACTGCTGCACAGTCAGCCAGTTCTGCTGAATCAGTACGTACTATTTGATTCTGAAAAGAAAAATAAAATAAAAGCAGACTTTAAGATAGGTAATTCTGTTATGAACCCTGTTTTCTCAATACAGGAAATTTATTGCAGCTAGCACAAGCACATTCAGCAAATCTCCAAATGATTTAGTTTGTATTTGCAGCTTTTAATTCAGGGATCTATCTGCTCTGAAGGGCAGTAACAACAATATTCTGACTGAAGATGCCAGTGGTAATGGAAATGTTGCTACCTGTTTACAATTATTCTTCATTTAATTTTAAACATATAGAATGAGGCACCAACTGCAGCTTGTCCTTGTATCTTTGATGACCTTAAGTATAATGCTAATTTATTAAACTAATATAAAATTTATTATTTTATATCACATTAAGCCTTCCAAGAGTAAAAAGTGAGAAGATTTGATATTTAACAACTCATGATTCTCTCAGTCATAATCCTGGAAACTCTACCCAAACAACTCTATAGAGGTGGCCCACAGATACAAGTTGGACCTCTCTAATCCGGCATTCTGGGGACCCGACAGGTGCCAAACCAGAGAATTTGGCAGACCACAGGAGGTCAATGTTGTCTAGTAGCATTACCAACACTTTCACTGCTTTCTGGGCTCTTAGAAGACAGTTAGGGATAAATTAAAGCTAAATAACAGCAGAAAACCCGGGAACCAGGATTGATGGCTGTAAACAAACAGTATGGGACTGTGGGAAAGTTGGCCTCAACCATGAAAAGTGGACATCCAGCTAACTAAAATCACAGAATCATAGAATATTAGAACTAGAATGGACCTCAAGAAGTCATCAAGTCCAGTCCCCTGCCCTCACGCAGAGCCAAACATCATCCAGATCATACCTGATAGATCTCTATCCAATCTGCTCTTAAATATCTTCAGTGATGGAGATTCCTCAACCTCCCTAGGCAATTTATTCCAGTGTTTAACCATCCTGGCAGTTAGGAAGTTTTCCCTGATGTCGAACCTAAACCTCCCTTGATGCAAGACCATTGGACTATCTTCACTGGCCAAGAAGAACAATTTTTCTCCCTCCTCTTTCTAACACCCTTTTAGATACCTGAAAACAGCTATCATATCTCCTTCTCAGTCTTCTCTTTTCTAAACTAAACAAACTCAATTCTTTTAGTCTTCCTTCATAGGTCATGGTTTTCTATACCTGTAATCATTTTTGTTGTTCTTCCCTGGACCTCCCCAATTTCTGCACCTTTTTCCTGAAATGTGGTGCCCAGAATCGGACACAATAATCCAGTTGAGACTTAATCAGTGCAGTGTAGAGGGGAAGAATGACTTCCCATGTCTGGCTCACAACACTCCTGTTAATGCATCTCAGAACGGTGTTTTCTTTTTTTGGCAACAGCGTCACACTGTTGATTCATATTCAGCAGTATGACCCCCTAGATCCTTTTCTGTAGTACTTCTTAGGATAATTGCTTCCCATTTTGTGTGTGTGAAACTGACTGTTCCTTCCTAAGTTGAGTGCTTGGCATTTGTCTTTCTTGAACTTCATCCTATTTATCTCAAATCATTTCTCCAGTTTGTCTGGATTACTTTGAATTATGATCCTATATTCCATAGGACTTGCAACCCCTTCCAGCTTGGTATTGTCCACAAACTTTACAAGCATACTCTCTATGCCATTATCTAAATTGTTGATAAAAATATTGAACAGAACCAGTCCCAAAACTGATCCCTACAGAACCCCCCACTTGTTATACCCTTCCAGCATAACTGTGAACCACTGATAATTACTCTCCAAGAACAGTTATCCAGTCAGTTATGCACCCACCATATAGTAGCCCCATCTATGTTGTATTTCCTTAATTTATTTATGAGAAGGTCATGCAAGACTGTATCAAATGCTTTACTAAAGTCTAGGTACTTTAAATCTACTGCTTCCCCCTTTTATCCACAAGGCTTGTTATCCTATCAAAGAATGATATCTGGTTGGTTTGACAGGATTTGTTTTTGACAAATCCATGTTGACTGCTGACTGTTACTTATCACCTTATTATCTTCCAGATGTTTGCAGATAGATTCTTTCATTATTTGCTCCATTATCTTTTCTGGCACAGAAGTTAAGCTAACTGGTTTGTAGTTTCCTGGGTTGTCCTTATTTTCCTTTTTTACAGATGGTCACTATATTTGCATTTTTCCTCTTTTCTGGAATCTCTGCTGTCTTGCTGGACCACAAATGTTGCCAGATCAGAGAAAGTGTGACGGAGTAGTGTAGTTTCCTCTAAGGTGCGTGCCTGCATGGCTGCCCACAAGAAAATGAAGGGCCGCACACCTAATTAGTGGAGCTACACAGGCGTGGCTCCACTAATTAGGTGCCTGGACCCTGGAGAAGACACAAGTGTAAGGTGAAGTGGCAGCCTTGCAGGGAATAATGAATAGATGGGGGAAGGGTCTGGGGATGAAGGGGGAGAAATAGGTAGTACATGGGGGCAGTAAGGTGAGAAAATGAGGTGGGGGTATTTGGGACATGTAGGGCTGTGGTGGCCAGAGAAAAAAAGGTGACTTTCCCCAGCCGTAGGGCAGTGGCTTCTAGGGAGAGATACCCGCCTCTTCCAAGTCTCAGCTATGGCTGCCACAGCAGGGGGAGAGATGACTCCCCAAACTACTGCTAAAACTTAATGGACATGACTTGTCCAGGCAAGTGATTTCCATTATGTTTGAGGACAGGTGTAAAAACCACAAAGCCAGATCTTTATCTGGTGTAGATCTGGCTCTTCAGAGTATTCCCATTGACTTTTAAGTAGCAACCAGCACTAGGTTTGGTGGGAGTCCTGCTAGGTTAGGAGTTTTGTAGCATAAAGACCTTATTTGCAAGCTCTTTGAAGCAAGGATCTGTGCAAACTCCAAGTTATGTGTTGATGTGCTCCAAAGCATAAAAACTCAATGAGCTCACTGAGTTTGAGTACTGATATTAAAATATGAGTTCTGTGCTTTTATTTGTAGAACAAAAACATTAAATAAAATATGTTATATAAGCACTTTAACTTAGCTAACAGTACAAACAATACCTGGAAAGACCATTAAGTGGTCCTCCAAGATCCCCAGCAATTCTCAAGAGGTCCAGTTTAAAAAAAAAATTGAGAACCACTTTCCTAAAGGCTTTTAATCTATCACCACAACATAGCATCAACCCTTAGCAATGGGAGAGATGCAATAGGATAAGCATCCCTAGAAAAAGTATTTTACTCTTCTGAACAGAACATCTTCTATAGCATTATGTTTTCATTTTCATATGACTACCTAGCAGTAGCAAACCAAAAATATGACCTACCCATGCACACAGAGTGTAACAAGTAGTGCAAGTGCAGCTGCCAAGACTAGCCTAAAACAGAACAAGCACTCAATTAAACTAAGCTCATATTTTAAAGTTTGCTGACATCGTTTGTAATATATTTCAGCTGCCTAACATGTAACATGTTTATTAATGTTTTTACACAGTTTAAAAAGACACTTCCAAAACTCCAGTGAAATGGAAAGAGCTTAAAAAATGCAACTCTCCAAGGACCAGCACAATGTTCAGTGTTGCTGTACTTTTTTCCCAGGGCTGTTTATTGTTCTCTTCAGAAATATGCCACAATAATAATTCCAGGAAGCTAATGAATTGAACAGGAGCAAACAACAGTGTGGTTTATAAGTCTGGAATAAAATCATATAGCATCATACGGGGGTAGTACCATTCCACGTGCTAATTGTACTGCTGGGCTTCCAAACAAATTCCTGTCTCCTTAAGTTAAGGGACAGTCAAAAACTTCAGGAATAAGAAATAATGTCTATTCTGTTTTATCACTTGATATTTACATTAGTAATAATCCACATACACAAGCAAGGATGTGGGTGAATTCCGCAAGCACAAAAATTTCCAGACAGCATCGCTCTCTATAGAGTTGCACAGACACTAGTGCAAGTTGTCCCACTGCACTACTCTTCCCCCCCCCCCAACCTAAAGGGATCAATCACCCTGTAGATGGGGAAAGGAAAGACCAGCTTCCATGGCCCATTCAATACTTGGGCTCTCTGCTGAGATTTAGAAAAGGAGGATCCACTTAGTAACTCTTCTGTTCATGCTATGAAATGTTCACGCTTGTCAACCATACCCTGGTCGCCGACTGCATTTCACATGGGCCATTAAACTGCCATCTGATAGTAACAGATTTTGATCACTACCAATCAGAACCAGATTAAAACCTATTGGTGAAAAATATGTTTATTGTTACCAATCTGTTGAAGCAAACAAGTCTCCCACAGAGGAAATATTTGGGGCATGCAGGGCAATAGCTATAAGAACAACATATGAAAACAGTAGATCTTCTTTCTTTGGTCCCTTTGTACCAAATTTAATTTTCTCCTAACCGGTCAACCTGGATAAAGAGACACAACCAACAAATTTCTACCAGCTTCCAAAGAAAATTATTAGAATATTATTCTGTAGTCCAAAATGCTCCTTTGTTTATTTAGCCCTGGAATATCCAGAAAGGTCAGCCCAAAAATCAGTGCACATTTACAGATACAAATGCCACATATTTATGTACATAGAGCTATTTCAGAAAAATATATAAAAATGTAGAGTTTTTTCTCCTTTATTCTTTAAAGGAGAAAAAATTAGGACAATAAAAAAGGATTTTTCTACGAGTTAAAGAAGAAATAGATTAGAATAAAATCATAGATTATATTCTCTATCTTTGATAGTCAAAACTCTTAAATTCTGCACAAATTCCAATCTCTGCTTAGAAAGGAGAATTATACTTCCATCTTAAAACTGTGTGCCTAGTAAAACCCAAGACCACTGTAACTGAAAGAGAAGGAAAAAACTCTCAAATTCTAGTTTGTTTACTTTGAGCATTTTAAGGCACTTTCACAGATTTGCACTAATTTGATAGCACTCTGGGACATTAAACACCCCCTCTATTCATATCCTATATACTACTGTAATAATCTTTGTAAAAATATGCCTGTGATATCAACAGAGATAACATTATTCAA